TCCTTAAGGACAACTGATTACAGTCCCTATGAGATGTTGAGGCAGTGCGCCTAATTGCAGGAAACGTATACGGACTACTGAGGTGGTTACAAACTTTGCACAGTCGTATACACTAGCATGTCCACCAGATTTATGTGTATGTGTCAACATAAACTGCAGAAGGTCTAGTAAAAGCTGGCCACCATATATCTTCATTCCTGTCTGGTCCCTTTTTCTGTCACCAAGTTTTATTTGCACCATCTAGAGAAGTCAGAGTGGTGGATACCTGCATTATGTGTTCATTTAAAGTTCCCCACAGAGAACCATCCACATCAATCCCAATTTGTGGCCCATTTGTCTCAGTCTGGTGCTGGTTAACAGTCCCTGACTGACAAAAAGGAACAATGCATTATTACATCTGAGAGTGACACTGGGGTGTAATTTTATACCTAATTTACGGCTGTTTCTAGAGATCTGGTGTTATACATAGTTTGACTTAAGATTTTTAAATATCCATTATCACCTGTACCCAAGCCAACCGGCACAGACCAGTACACATGATAAACATGAACTTTTTCTTCTTCGATATTAACTTCAAATTGGTTCCATTTATCGCTTCATAGATCCATTGTGTAAGCTTTCTGTCTTTATTGGACATATTTGTCTGTGACACCAAAGACTTGAAGGAATGTTGTTTGAAATATAAAACCATAATACATCTGTGCCTTGAGCTCCATTTATGCAATTGGCAATGTTGAGATGATAAATCCTGTCTAATAGGCTGTGTCTTTATAGCATTTTCTATTTCTCCACTACAGATGCTAAAATGTGATTAACAACGCACATTGCCACAGTTCGAAAAGGATTAATGGCAAGATGAAAGCTTCTCTGACAAGGCCCATATTATGATCATATTATTTGTATTGTACAGATACCAAAAGAAAACATATTACATAAACCAGCTTTCCTGCATCCCTTATGAAGACTGTTTCTCTGTTTCATCGTCCCTCTGTCTCTGTTTATCTGTGTCTTGGCCAGACTTAATGTTTGTCTCTTCAGTGATTCTCTTTTTTTCTCCTGGCATTCCTTTTGCTTTATCTTGGCCCGTTTGTGCAGAATGATGTCTTTGTTACAATCTGCTGGCATCTATATTTTCCACTCTAAACCTAAAACTGCTGTATGCTTGGGTTGTTGAGAATTTGGTCTTTAGCTGTATTCCATTTCACCTCTTGTCTCTACCACTTAGGCTAAAATTCAGATTCCTAGTGTAAAACTTGACCAGGGTTGACTCCTTAAACAATAATTAGTTTTGTTTTTTTTTCCTTTAATTAGCATTTAAAAATTGCTTTACAAAATTGTACACCTGCTGGCAGGCCTTGCATGAAAGGCAAGACTCCTGGGGGTAGAAAAACCCTATGAAAAGGTGCAACAAGCTGAAACTTCAATCTACAGTGTTTAATTTTTCAATGGCATCTAATGGTCAGACTGTGGACTGCAGCAACATAAAAGACTCCCCTCCACTGAGGTCATCATGGTACAACAAGGCTTCAGAAACATCCACACCAACAATATTATCAAATAATGATGAGGTTTGTTAACACTTGAGATACAACAATCAGGGTTTTGTGAGCCCATCACAGCATCAGATCCTTAAATTCTGCCATACTGTTTATTGGAGTCTGGGAGGTTTTTCCTCCAATTTGCTTATTGCTTTCTATCCTATCCAGTAGGTGGCACCTGTGCTTCAGGGGCTGGGGAATGACAAGTGATTCCCATCAGAACTTGTTAAAGAGAATCTAAAAAGGAGTGTGCTGCCAGCACTTCATCACCAGACTGTTAATCTGTGTATCTTACCTGCCTGGTCTCTGGTCCTTCCTCTGAGTCCTCTCATGCTCTGGTGTTTAGCTCGTTCCAGGTCTCCTCCATGCTTCCAGAATCAAATGCTCAGAAAACTGCTCTATCTGGAAGTTTCTACTAACCTTCTGAGATTCCATGCTGGCAGTTACCCGGTTAGACTGTTCCTGCAAGCTTTTTCCGATCAAACCCTGTTCTCCCTCCAAACCACCCAGCGCTTCTCCCCGACACCAACCTCGACTTCCTGAATTTAGACGCTCCTACAGCAGCAGGTTCAACTCTAGTTCCAACTTCCACAAGACTCCTCTCTCGGACTCCACTCATTATTCCCTCTTGGTGGTAAATCATACATCTCTCTGTAAGATGATTCTGATCTTCACTATTTACTTATCCATTCAAAACCTAATCTCTGACTCCTCTTCACGCAGTCGAAGACCCAGTCTCAGATAATCTCTTCAAGTATTCAGATAAACTAATAAACATTTTAAATCTGATTCAGTCTCCTAAGTGTGTTCTGCACATGTGGGCTAAAAGCCATGAAACTTTATTATTGACAAAGTATAAAAATTAGGAGATGTATCATAAATGTACCACTGCTTTATTGAACAAGGCTGCAGAGATAACAGAAGATAGAGATACTAAAGTTGACAAAGAAGTCTTTGAGCAGCTTTTTAAAAAGCTGTTTTAATTTAGCCCTGAATGGATTGGTTTCATCTTTTTACCCCCAAGCACAAACATTGATCAGCTGCTGCTCACCCTCAGATGTTAGCCTCTAGAAGCAAGCCTCTGCACAACGCCGCCTCTTCCTGCTCTGTCTCCCGAACAGGCTTCTCCGATGTACCTTTGTCCTCCTCCTCCTGGCCATTAGCACCTTCCATCCATCCATTTTCTTCTGCTTTATCCAGGGCCGGGTCACGGAGGCAGTAGTCTAAGAAGAGATGCCCAGACTTCCTGATCCACACACACCTCCTCTAGCTGCTCTGGAAGGACCTCAAGGCGACACCAGGCCAGCTCAGAGACATAGTCCCTCCAGTGTTTCCTGGGCCTTGTATGAGGCCTCCTCCCAGTAGGACATGCCTAGAACAACTCCCGAGTGTGGCGACCAGGAAGCATCCGGAACAGATGCCCGAGCCACCTCAGCTGGCTCCTTTCGACATGGAGAAGCAACGACTCTACCCCAAGCTCCTCCTGGGTAACTGAGCTCCTCACCCGATGTTGAAGGATACGCCCAGCAACCCTGCAAAGGAAACAAATTTCAGCTGCTTGTATTCGCAATCTTGTCTTTTTGGTCATTACCCAGATCTCATGACCATAGGTGAGTGTCGGAATGTAGATCGATCAGCAGATTGAGAGCTTTGCCCCCCCCCGCTCCCTCTTCACCATGACAGTCCAATACAGTGACCACATCAGTGCAGACGCCCCACCAACCGGTCTATCGATCTCACGTTACATCCTTCCCTTACTTGTGATACTTGAACCCCTCCATTTGAGACAAGGACTCTCCAGCGACCTGAAGAAGGGAGCCCACCTTTCTCTGGCGGAGAACCCTGGCCAAGGATTTGGAGTTGCTGATCCTCATCCCGGCCACTTCACACTCGGCTGCACACCGCCCCAAACATTCCCAACAGACCCTCACAACACACTGTGAGGGTGACAGTGGTGACCTGCTACTCTGTAATTATAAATAGCCATATCTAAAGCAAAACAGACACAACGATTGAGACCTTCAGTTCATAAAGTATAATAAACAGCATACTTATGTATAATGTATTACATTTTTGCCAAATAATTGCTGTAATTATTAAACACTGTAGCTTTAATTCCAAAAATTTTTCCTATCCGAGCATTTTTGCACAAACAATAAGACAACCGGGCAAGAATGCGTGGGTTTCCAAGTTTGTACCCTGATTACCCAAAAGGAATGGTGCTATAATTTTTACCATAAAGTTGGCAAACTCTAAGTTGGTATGCCAATGCTGTATAAGTTGATGCTCATGGTGAATGTTGTGGGATACATCCAGGAATGGATATCAATCTGAGAGAAAAGCATTGGAGTGAGGTAATATAATTATGCTTTTTAACAGCTCAGGAAACTCTCCGAAGGTGGGGGTGTGTTGGTGTGTGTAAGGGGTGGGAATCCTTCAGGGTTTTCTCCTCTTGCTCTTTACTAGGCCAGCAGAACAAGAGAGGAATACAGCAGTGCCAAGCCTTTCTACCCACAAATCACAGATTGCTTTACATTTGCCTTCCCAGGGGAATGCCGGCTGCTCCAAAGGGTGACCACTCTTGCTTAGCTGTCATTTCAATTTAATGCAAACCTTGTATAACATCAGAGCTGAAATTATTATTTCAGCCTGTGTGGGCAGTTTATCACTGGGACTCCACTTACTGTGTTTTCATCTGTGGTTGTTAGTAAAATCTGAAGCTCATTTTTTAGCTCCAAAGTTGATATTCTGTACCATAGGTGAGTCCTTAATGACAATCTACTAGGAAAATACTATCCAATACATTTCTGTTATTGCAAGTGTTTTTGATTGGTTAAGATAAAATACTCATATCAGTCTGAATTTACAAATTAAAATCTGCAGTGATAAGTAATCCATATATTAAAAGACATCAAATAAAATGTTTCACAGCGCAGTCAAATTGATAATAAAACTATTTGCATTCACATAGAGAGGTAGTTTTAGCAGTACCTTCACTGAGCAGTTGGGATCTCTGGAGACCACATTTTTTTGTGTAAAACTTGACTACTTGTCATGTTGAGACACAGTACAAGTGTTTTATCAAGCATACATGTGTTTTACTGACTTCCGTGATAAAACTGACGTAAGGTTGCTGACTGACACATACTGTGTCACTGTATCTTTATGTCCTTTTCATAGCTCATGAAATGCAGCTCTGACAAGCTGGCTCAGTTTGTCTTTTTAAGCTAACATCACTTCTAAGGTTGGTGGTGGTGGGGTTGGTGGTGTAGGAGGCAGGGCACCCCCACACCCCCCAGCCCAGCCCCGTCCCATGCGATAGGTGGAACCTCAAATCTCCGATGTAGAAGGAGGGGTTTGAAAGATGGAGGGGGAGGAGAAATGGTAAAGAGAAAGAGGAGGGTTCAGGGAAATGAATTAAAGAGAGAGAGTGTGTATGTGTTTTAAGCACTCACTCTGTAATGCACTGTGAACAGGGACGAATGAGACACCGAGTCATACACACACACATTTTCATGCATGCTGCTTCTGTCACACACCTTCACCTTGTGCTGCCGCTCCATCTACACGTGCACAGACTCCTTCTGCAAAGGCTGAGAGGTGCCCCATCCTTTGACTTGTCCTCCAAACATTTATGGAGCCACTTACACTACGACCGGACCCGACCACTGTCAGCCACCGGTGGAGTCCCTCGGATGAGAGTAAGGCACAGCTACCTGCAAGATCTCTCTATTGACCCCCACCCTCCTCATCTCATCTCCTCTACATTCATTCATCCCTCGTTCCCCCTGCTGTGAGGCAGCATGCACGGCTGAAGGACACAGCGCTGCGCTCAACTGTGAGAGTTAGAGAGCTTGATCGGACAGGGGTGGGGGGGACAGAAGAGACTGACTGCTCTTTTTCTTTTACCCCCTCCCTCTTTCTGTGTTCTTTCTGTCTTGTTTTTTTGAATGTCACCTCTGTCTCTAAGCAGTAGTGGATTCATCAAGCCTTTCTGTGTCTCTTTTCATTCTTCACTTAGAGTGCAAGTGATCGGAGGGGTTATGCCAGAAGAGCTGGAGAGAGAGCCTGGAATCAAGGCACACTCCATTCATCAGACAACGCGTCCCTTCACAGGCTTGCAGACCTAATAACTCAGGCCGGACAAGACTCCTTCATCTACTTGTCTTGCTCTGACATGGTCAGAAATGGAAAAATTTTATTGGTGAAGGACACAAGGTGAAGTGTTGATATCTGGACAATTTTTATTCAGACTCAGCTGTTAAAGTAGGATACCTTTGATTTGTGTTTGGTCTCATAATGTGGCGGATGGTTCAGTGTCCTTTTTGGACTTGGTCGAGCTGAACTTGACTGGAGCCGGAAGTGCTCTCGGAGGACTTTGAGGAGTAAAAGCGACATGCCTTTTCCTAAAAGAAGAACAGCAACTTCCACCCAAAAAAGAATTGATTGCTTCACCCTTTTCCCTGGCTGTCATCAAATTTGCATGGGATTTTAAAGTAGCCACCCTGATTTCTTCTCTGTTTTTTGTATCTTCCTCCTCATTTCTTTTGCTGTCCAGAATCAGAACCCCTACTTCTTTTTCTGTTCTGCTACTTTTCTTTAGCAGTAATTCATCGCCCTGGGTGAGCAGGTGCTGGGGGTGGCCCCTGGAACCCCTGGACACCTGGGCGCCACCGAGCCACCAAAGGCCGGCGAGGCAAGGTAAGGCTCGGTGCTGGGAAGATGGCCGCTCTTGCCAGCTCCCTTATTCGCCAACGAAGGGAGGTCAAGGACCCCCAAGCAAACCGACAGATTGCCAGCAAGCGCAAACCCTGCCCAAAAAGCAACAAGTCACTCTGCCAGAAACAAATCCTCATATTAATATCAAAAGTTCGACTATGTGGCAGTCGAGGGAGAAAAATGGAAAAAAGACCCGGTAAGTTGACTTAATTTTTCTCCTTCTTTGCTGTGTTTTACAGCTAGAATGTTTTTAAGTAATTGCTTGGCCAGACTACAGATTAATCCTGAACTGTAAAGCCTCAACAACGAACATGCGCAGCCCTTTAATTTCAGACTTCAGATTTTAATCTGAATCTGGAAAATGTCCCAACCAATCCTTCTTTACAGCTGTACATAATAACATCAGCAGGACGTGGCATAAATTCCAGCTTATCGCATACAGTTGTGTTACAGTGACCAGCGAAGGGATTCTGTGTGTTGTGACAGCATAGATGCTTCTGTTAGGACACATGTCAGCACACGAACACATGCTGGTAAATCTGAAGGCACACAGTGAACTTGGCTCTGACCTACAGTACAGTGATTCAGAGAGCAAAATAAAATTGTCAGAACATATCTCATTTTAGACTTTGAAGGCCAAGACTCAAGCCTGAGCTCTTAAAAGACTTCTAAGATACAACTGTTTTTATTTTAGTATGAAATATATTTATTAAAAGCCAATAAAAATTACCATTTTTCTTCATTTTTATTTTATAATATTAGCTTATCCCCTTTTCTGCAGTTAAATATTTAACCTTTTTTCTATTGGGTCACAATTGTTTTGAGATTTAAGTAAAAGAAACCATATAACATTTCTAGAAACATAAAAACACTGCATAAAAATTGGTTTGAAATTTGTTTTGTATCTGCTGGTGTGGACCTAAAAATGCTGACTATTTGTAAACAAATACATCTTTGTGCATATTTCCTTTTAAAGATTGCAAACAATACATGGACAGTTGCATCTAAAGATATGCCAAAATCATATTTGATAGCCTAATACTTTCCCTTCAAAGAAATAACTACATGATATAAAGATAACTTACAAAAACAGATCAAATGTTTCAATTCACATCCAATAGCGTTAATTGCAAAATGATTTGTTGTGTTAACCTGATCCAAAAAACGATCTAATATAAAAAAAGAATGGAAAATATTATTGAAAATAAACCTCTAAGAAAGCCATCAATTTACTTAATTTAAAGATTTTCTTTCTTGCAAATTTTCAACTGAAGAAAGAATACAATGAGAGGGAAGAGTCTCAACTTCCTACTATCAGAAAATCAATTTTACCAGTGCCTCAAAAACTAAATTTTAGTACATATAAATAAATCTCTGATATATGTTTTTTTCATCAAGAGATAATATTATATATGAAGATGTATTTTATATATATCTTCAGTGCTGTAAGGTACAGTATAACATCATTCAATCTGCAAAAATCCCTTTGCTGTGTCATAGTTGTCCATTTCATTTATTTCTGAGTTATTCATGCAATAAACTAGGGACCTGTCTGAGCGGACCATATCCCTGGGCAGTTGGATGGTGGAACAGTCTCCAGAGTCCCATCCACCCTGAGTATGATTACCCAGGCATAGATAAATGATCAGATGGTTTGTTAGTTTAGCTGACTTGGTTGAGCTAATTTTTAAGTGGTTGCTTAATGGGCCAGTATTTGACAGGTTTAATTAAACTAGTCTTGTAGTTTCAGTTCAACCTGTTTCACTTCATTGGACATAACTGATGCATGTAAAATCAAATCTATCAATAACTGAAGCTATTAGATCTTGTTAATTGACACTTTCACAAACATTTGAAACTTTATGGTGTGTTCAGACTGGACAAAGTGTCAATGGTGAGTGTGGTGGATTAACATAGAATTCCTGTACAAATTGAACAGGGAAGGGCAGGGAAGCTGCCACCGGTGAATCCCACGTGGTGAGGGCGGTCTCTGCTCTGCTTTCATCTTGTGTTACTAACCAGAACAGAAGTGTTGCCAAACAGCTGCTCTGAGCAGTGATGTTATGAAGTTGAAATGAGCTGAACTTTTCTGTGAAATTGCAACACTACAAGTGATCAGGGACAGTTGTAGGTAAAGCTCTTTTCATTCAAAATGGAATACTCAACTGTAAAGTGCCTTGAGATTAACCTGACTCCGCCTGATGGATTTGCTCCGCATATCCATCTGGAAACTACCAGTTGAAGTAATTTTGGGAAGGGGCGAAAATACTGGTTAGCTGATTGGCCTATGTTGGTGATAGACGGGCCAAATAAACCAATCAGATCAACGAAGCATATGACTAACAAAGCAACGACGAAAACACAACCACAAGCCAGGCTACTCTTGCCGAAACCAGTTGGGAAAAGAGCAAAAACTTCTTTTCCTCTGAGAAAAGCCTCCAGAGCAGTGTTTTGCTCTTCTTTCAGTGAAATACTCTGTAATTCCGATAAAACTTGCTCGATAGCCAATCTAACGCTAGTTTCATCGGCTGAAGCCGCCATGTTCTTTAGACTGAACGGTCGCGCATCTCGTTGCGTCACACCTCAACCTGCCTCAAAGCCAACGCTGTTTGTTTGGTGAACGGCTCCAAATTTTCTTTAATGGAGAGTCTCCAGACTGATTTGCGAGTGAAACCTTGAAAGCTTGCGAGATCAGGATGGTCTCACGAGGCTACTTTGAGATTACTTGTGCTGTGAATTGGCGCTATATAAATAAACTGAATTGAATACAGGGATAAAGAATATTCAAAAAAGATAGAAATGAGGAAAGGTCTGAAGAAGTATTAGGTGGCCTAAAAAAGCCATTTTAATTTAGTCCTAGAGGGACTGTTAATCATCCCCCCTTACCTCCACCACAGACCCCATTTCACCGCCCAGCATGGAGGCCTTCTGAGGGGGTAGATTTAAAGAATTATCATTGAATCCCCGACTGTCATCCATGTGGCTGGAGTGTCAGCTTCACGCTGCTGAAGCTCCTCTTACTTGACAATGAATGTTCCTGAAAGAGTTCGACGTTAGTAGAAGAATTCGAATTTAACTTTATTGTCATGACAGTATCACAATACAAGGCAACGATATTCATTCTCTGCATTTACCCATCACTTTGGGGAGTAGTGGGCTGCCATTGTGCGGTGCCCGGGGAGCAGTGTGGGGTCAATGGTCTTGTTCAGGGACCCACAGTGGCAGTAAGAGTGGGACTAGAATTCAGAACCTCTGGGAGCATGCATCGTGTAGTATAAAGGGGGTAATGAGGGGCGATGAACCTCCCAGGACCACCTCCCAATCACGAGTCGAAAATGAAACATATTCTTTTTTTTTTTTCTTCTTCTTTTATTTAATATAGAATCAAACTTATTCTAAATTCAGTCAGCCCTTGTGTGGTGTTCGTGGGAAAATCCTGCTGTTGAAGCAGAGCTATGAGCCCCTTTGAGCTGATATACCAGAACCCTGCAGACTGCGAATGAACAGGGAGTTCTTAATATTCTTCTTCTTGATTGAGAAGTCCGACCAGCGGCATCTTTCGGCACTGAATCCGGCATGTATGTTTTGAAAGTACAGTGTGAGCAGATAGATCGTATCAGAGCATCAGGCCGTACAGTGTACGAACATGCGTTGTGGCCTGTGAACTTTTAAACCCTGTGTCATGATAGGCTTAATGGATTTAACCCACATGCAGAACACCAGTGGAGACAGAATAAAGTTTAACAATGTTTATTATGGAAATACACAGGATTATGCAGGATCTGGTTCTGGTGCAGGTCCGGGACTGGATTCACTAATATCTGGAGAGATGAGAGTTTGGTTAGCCAGGCAGTTGTTGGCTTGACGAGTGAGTAGAATTCAGATAATACCTTGAAGAGGTTCTAACAGATCCGTGAGAGGAGGAACCGGTTGGGTCCAGAGTCTGTGGGGGTTGCAGAGAGTTCAGCAGCAGCAGCGTCTAGCTTCGAGCTAGAGAGTCTCAGACTTGGGTTTGTTTCCTAGCTCTTTCCCAAGAACCGGTGAAGGAATCCAAAACTGAGATCTTCAGGTTTGGCTTATGTGGGCAGGCAGGCAGGTTTCCAGGTTATGCTCATCCAGAGCTTCAGACCTCAGTCGAGTTTTCTGTGAGCAAAGACAGAGGCAGGTTAGAAAGCTAGTTTCTCTCAAGAGACAACCAGTGTTCTCAAAGTTTTCAGAGGCTCAGGTTCGCTAACCAAACTAGGTCAACACTCCGGCGTCGAAGGAAGGTCAGACTGCTACTTATGTAGGGAGGTCTTCTGATGAGCTGATGATCCCCAGGTGTGCTGAGGACTCCAGCTCAGGAAGCCCACAGCGCTCTCTGCTGGAGACAGGTGGCAGATCTCCAGATCCCAACACCCTGCAGTTTCATCGTAAAGTTGATGCTGTAAGTGAGCACAGATATGAAATTTCTGATACTCTGGTTCAGACAACATTAGTTAAAACGTTGGAAAAACTAAATTTTTGAAGGCATTGAAGGATGGATGGATTGATAGATTGTTATATTTTCATGACAATCTATTAGTGGGTTTTTTCAGTTTAACTAAGCTTCTTGTAGATTTGTTACTGTAAATGAAGCTTTTTTTGTTCATTTTGGGGTTTCTCTGCACTAGCCACAAGACAGTATTTAGTTACAATGCTTTTCTTCAAATAGTGTCACACAGAAGAGGCTCTGTACACACTGTACAGACTGTACACACAGGTTTTCATGATGTTTCCTCTTTCCCATTTTAACGTCAATCAACGCTTGTCATCACCTCACCAGTCAGTAGTGCCTTCTTCTCCTACCTGAATGCATATTCACATTCTGTGTGTGTCCCCTTCCACCTTGTGTAAGTGCAGCTGTTTCTGAGTGTCTTGCGATATTTATTAGCTGAGTGTGCCAAGTTCATCATGATAATTACCCAGGGAACCTCTAACGGGGAAGCAGCAGCTGCCATAGAGGCGGCGCTCTCTTATTGCAATTATGGTTGTAAAATTTGTTGGACAGGCCATGGCAGCGAGGGCTCTTTGAGAAAAGGCCACATGTTCATAATACCTATTGTTTGGACTAATCTACACTGTAATAGTGTCACTGATTTTTATGGATTCAGTAGAAATTGTTTGTCGGATGTTAAATATGGCTATGTATTTATCTGTAATAATACATGGATGAAA